ATATATAAAGGTACATATAGGAAAAAAAAAAACCATAGATATTCTTAAAATTTGAAATTCATATTATATTTATTATGTCAGAATAAACGAAATAACTTTGCACAGTAAAAATAATTTGAATTTGAGCTTTAAGAATATTTGATATTTTTTATATTGCTAGATCAATATTAGCATCATATGTGTATACCTCTATATTCAAATAACATCATCAAAATCTGAAGTCAAACATGATTATTTTATTAGAGTTAATTTTTGTATAACTGTCTCTTATTTACCCTCGTAATTGGGATAGAGAACATACCCAATTACTATAATTTCATATATTTAGTGCACAATAGACTATTGCGTTGCAATTACTGCATATTAACTATGTACATATATATACAATATAAGACAGAGTATCTATTGTGTCAAACTATAGTGACGTCAGCCACTGAAAACGCAGCAACTGTGATATGTATGTATGTGTTTGTATATACATATGTGTTTCTCATTTGGCGCGCTTTTTATACACATGCAATCACTGAATATGGAAATGGAGGGTATATTGTTTCATGTAAATGTATGTAACGGGCAGAAGGGGGAGTGGCTGAGCTTACAAGTGTATATATGTATTTTAGATCTGTCCCTTTGTCAGTTTACTTCGCTCTCAGATATAGACTTATGAGTGCTATAGGAATTATTTTGGCTCTTAATAATCCATACAATGTTTCTGGTAATGCGATAAATTATTATCGATTTGGGCATAATTTAATATATCCCTTGAATCTTCAAATTTGATGTATAAGTACATACATACATATGCATGTATGTGTATGATTGCATATTTAAGTGTGTATGCATGTAACTAAAATTTTCAAATGGCTCGATCAGAATTTAAAAAAATCAATATTGTCAAATATATTCTGTCAACCGGAATTTAGGGCATCTTCTAGTCGGGCACTATAGTTGTCTTGCTTATTCGATCTTCCATTTGCTTGCTGCCGGGTTGCAGCAGCTAGTTACGGATAATTTCCTAGAGGCACCACTACCAACAACAACAACAAACACAACAATAACAATAACAGGCATAACAACAACAGGACTCACTGTCAAGTGAGCAGGTACAACAAGGAGGCGACTGCAGAGATAGAGACAGCAGCAGAGGCGGGAACGTCGCGACGCGTCGGTGCAGGCGCAGGCGTAGGACGCTCAACCACCAATATATGTACATATGTATGTATGTATGTATGTTTATACACATATACTGCCAATACCAAACCAGTTTTTATAATGTCAATTCGAATCCTACACGTTCACGTCCATGTCCAATCCACACGCATTAAGCGCGACAGTCGCAAGTCTCGACGCGTCCAAATAATGACGACAACGGCAACGAGGCGGCAGCGCAGTGACAGCGCAGCGGGCATAGGGCTGTGGGCACTGAGACGTTGGTAGCAGAGGCTGCAATGGCAACGGCAACGGCAACGGCAACGTCGACGGCGACAGCGTCGATTGGTCGGCGTTAAATTTGAATTTGATTTCACCTGAGTGGTTGCAGCAGCGGCTGTGCCTTCGGCTGTTCCTGTTGTCAACCAACGCACAACGGCAACAGCGACCTACGATTCTTGACTTGTTGTTGTTGCTCCTGCTTCTGCTGCTGTTGTTGTTGTTGTTGTCGCTGCCTTTCGAGGGCTGTGTAATTGATGATGTTTACGTTCGGGATCCCGGTCTCTCGTTTTGTAGACGCAGTTGATTTAAAGATTACGCACCTATTGTGTGTGGGTATCAGAGAGTGAGCTGTATGTGACCGGCATATTAATTCTGAAGTCTTAATAATTTCTAATGAGTTTATCAAATGGTTTATGGTTAAGRCAAAACAACAACAACTCGAGAGGCAAAGCAATAATGCATTTATTTTCAAAATGTTTTTATGGCCTGACATTTACATTTACATATATATGAATACTATATGTATATGTATGTATATATATATGTATATATATCTATATAATATGATGGGGCTCCCTTGGAGCAACAACACAATTTGATTCGCCTAAAATAAGAGTTTTTTTTTATTACAAACAAAAATACCGATACATGTGATTTATTGACCGATGAATATCGGTACGATTGCAAGAAATTTCATAAATATTACAAGTTTTAAATTTAATATACATTACATTTGCATTTTAGTTGGCTGATTTCTGAGTAGGGAGGATAAATGTCACATCCATGCATTTTATTTAATGCTTTTATGTTGAGATATTGTTGCTAATGCCACCTTCAGCAGTTATCTGTACTGAGCCATTCAATGATAGCTTATTTTCCATATCCCATACATTTTCACTGCTCATATTTTTTTTTTTAAATACATAAGTTTTATTGGTTTCTTTTGATTTCTTTGATGAAACCAAATCAGCATGTAGCAATATGACTTTTGAATTATTGCTCTCTGAGGCAAGTTCAGAAGCTAATTTCATCTTTAATCGGGGTCCTGCTTCGTTATAGCTTACGGTCTTCCGACCCTCCATATTCATATTGTTGCCGTGGCAGTGTATTGTCAGCTTCACACTAGATGCTAGCCAAGGTGTATGTTTTTGCTTAAATCAATTCAGATTACGATTACATTTGCGCAAATTATATTTAATAAATGATCTAAAATTGTAGACTTTTTGCATAATAATGTCTAGTTGCACATAAGATATATTTTCGCTGTTTACATTTATGAATGCAAATTTTACGAATCTTATTCAATTTATTTCCAATTTGAAATTGAGAGAGCTGCCAGACTGTCAAAATGAGATTAATGTTTACGTAGCGGGAACGGAATGCATGCTTCAGCGTTGCCACTAAACAAAGTGAGTACATTCACAATAGACGTGCTCAGTGGCAATGTGATTCATTCCGCAGCGAACCAGTTCAGTTGTCGCCAGTTCTTTGCCAATCAATTCACGGGTCGTGTTTGTTTTAAGTTAAAATAGGTGGATAAATAGCAATAATAAATTAGTAACAGCATAAAGCGAATGTGTGCAACTATCAAGGCAACTTCTAGCGGCAGCATAAGATAAATATATTGGATATGCCACAAAATATAAAGCAAAATTTTACGCAAATTTCGGTTGTTCGGCGCTGAGATTGGAGGGGTTTGTACCTAAGCGAACACATCAAATGTATGCGGGTGTGTGACTGTGTGTGTGTGTGTGATTCTACGCCCCTTAGTTGATGTAGGTGTGGGGGAGGTAATATCAGCAAGAGCAGCGGCAGTGGCAGTGGCAGCGGCAGCGGCAGCGGCTGAGCAATGCAAATCCTTTGTAAAAATACTCGACAAAGAATCAATTTCTTAATTGTGAGGCGGTGGCACTTGTCGCGAGAAGACGTTCCTGTAACCATGTCTGTGTGTATATGTGTGTGTGTGCATGTGTAAATGTGTGGTAAGGTCGCCCAGTTGAAAGTGTCAAGGAATTTTACAACAACGGTAACGGCGGCGGCAGCAAAGGCACTCACGAGCAAGGTAAAACCTTCGCCCGAGACCGAGCCATAAGCCCCGAGCCATACCGCGCCCAATGCGCGCTCTGACATTTAGCATATATGTATATATATATATACCATATATATATACGTGTACATGCATCCTGGTCAGGCTGATCCTACCTTCCGTGAGAGCAAAGTGCAGTTCTTATTAAATTGTTGCATTTCAGGAATTTAACAAATGTGTATGTCCCGGATATCCAGTCGCATTGCTTACATTACTATTACATTTTTAGGATTTTTACACGAACTTCGGCTTGCGCCTGCGCTCCTCTCTCTCTCTTTCGCTCGCTCTCTCTCTGTCTGCCTTAGGGAATCGGCTACTCGCTTTCACTCTCACTCTTGTAGTTTGGAGTACCATCAAAAAAGTGTGTTTCGACTTCTAGTGTCCTCTGTCCATGATAAAAACTACTATTATATGCTAAAAACTAGAAGAAGAAGCTGAAGGCGAAGAAGATGAAGACAAACAAGGTAAAGGAAGACTCGTGCAAACATTTAACAGCTATTGTGCTTCTGGGCACTTGCTAGCCACCCAACGAGGTTGGCCAGCAGTGGAAGGCCGAGTGTCTTGTTTACCGGGCGGACCACAGGCAACCATTTCCGACTCAAAATTCAAATCGTTTACTGTTCAGCCAGCTGACAGTGAAACTTCCTCTTCTGGTCAGTGGCCCATTCAGAGAACACAATTTCGAGCATTTTGCGGCTGTAATTGATTTGGGTTGTCTGGACACTTGGGCACTTGGCCACCTGTGATTGACACATCTGCATGGTGTGACGAATGCCTATTTTTATTTCCATTTTTTTTTCTTCTTCTTCTTCTCCTTCTGTTTTCTGTCCACGTTACTTACATTAACAACTTTTTTGTGTCATTTTTTAGCTACATGCGACGAAATGAGTGTTTAGCATCAGCGTAGCAACAACAACGACAACAACCATCAATAACAACGAAGCAACAACTGCAACAAGAGCAAGAACAAGAACAGAAACACACACACACACACACTCACGCACACGCACACTAACAGTTTGCTACTCGGAGGAAAGACGTAAAGTTCATTGAAGTTTTTGGAGGTGGACGCAAGCACCAACTGTTGTTTGACCAGCAAAAGGAGCAGGAGCAGGAGCAGGAGGAGAACACCCGGGAACATCAGTAGCAACAGCAGCCGCCGTGGTGCAGCTCATCAATATTCCAAAAAGCAATTGAGCCAGGCGGGCACAGGCATTAATTCATCAATTATTCAAAATGACCGAAGACGAAATTCTCTTTGACGATGTTTACGAACTGTGCGAGGTCATTGGCAAGTGAGTTCCGTTTGCTCCCTATTCTTTCATTTTGTTGCCTTGGCTGCCATATCTCATTATGTGCTGCACGCACTAAATCATCTGTCTACGCCTCAAATGGGGGCAACAGCTTTCAATACAAAACTTGGCTAACATCAAACTTGCCTCAAAACTTGTGCAAGCAACAACAAGTTTTTCGGTGTCCATTCTTACATTATACATTAATATTTATGTGCTGCTCGTTTAGTTGAACTAAGTAGAGCGAAGCGTTGCTAGTTGTGATATGAATATGAAAGCTTTTGCCTGCTTTTTATGGCAGACAGTTTGCAAGCCTTTTGCGGACTGATAAGGTCAGCACGGACATTTGAAATCAGTTGGTAACTTTTACTAAACATATCTCTAATCTATATATATACATATATACTATACATTCCACAGAGGACCCTTCTCCATTGTGCGCCGCTGCATACATAGAGAGTCCAATCAGCAGTTTGCTGTCAAAATTGTTGATGTGGCCAAGTTTACGGCAAGCCCAGGACTGAGCACAGCTGGTAAGTTTGAGCGACGACCTTGCCCCAGGCGAACCACCCGAGGTACTTTGGGTGAATAAATTATAATTAAGCTGCGCGAATTATATGAAATATTTTGCTACTAATTGTGCGGTAACAACGAAACACAATTTGGCACGTGCCGCCCACTTTTGCCCACATTACAGATGCTGCGAGTCAGTCCCACCGCCAGCACAGGCTCAAGTCTTAGCCCAGTCCATGGGCCAATTAAAAAGAAATTGCTCAAATGCAGTGGCGCCTGGACTCGGATATTGACTAAATGATACATGGCAGGCACATAAGTCAGCTCTAAATCCATTAGGACTTTCGTGCAGCTTGTCTCAGACCCAAACAAGGACGTTGGCTGGGCGCCTTGTTGCTGTGTCAGCCGCGCGGGGCAGCCATACAAATGTTACCCATTCTAATAAGAACTAATTGCGTGTCATTACAGATCTGAAACGCGAAGCCACAATATGTCACATGCTGAAGCATCCGCACATAGTCGAGCTGCTGGAAACCTACAGTTCCGAGGGCATGCTCTACATGGTGTTTGAGTTGTAAGTAACACTCACCCACATACATATCCAGGCTCAATTTCCCACACATATATATTTGATATATATGTATATATATACATTTGGATGTAGGCCACTTAAATATTTCGTTTTCTCTCTCTTGCAGCATGGAGGGCTCCGACTTGTGCTTTGAGGTTGTGCGGCGCGCTGTGGCGGGCTTCGTCTACAGCGAGGCGGTGGCTTGGTGAGCATGGAAACATTGCCTATAATTATAGAATTATGACACCAGTTTTTCTGCCAAATCCCAAGTACATGGGTTGCTCATAACAGAAGAACATCTATATTAGGACAATCGATTAATATTTAAATGGAATGCTAAGCAACAGTGTCTTAGAACAGATTGCGCGTTTAATTATTAACTGACTTGCAATATTAATTTACGTTATTATCATGTATTTTTATAAAACATTGCAAGCTACAATTTTAAATCGTTCAGTATTATATAATTGCTTAATGTAAATTTTGTATACGAATATTTTTATTAGTCTAGTGAATCAGATTAGTTGTGTACAGGCATATATATTTAAGCATAAACCATATACATGTTATGTCAGTGCAGAATGCTTTAATAAGTTCAAAGACTTTGTTTATACATCACACATGAAGGATAACAATAATATAGGAGTTAGTTGAAAGATACAAAACAAATAGGGCCGGATTTCTCAGTTCAATCAATCAAACTTCACAAGTGAAGATAAATATGTTTATCATTAAAATATATTAATTTCATCCTATATAACTTTTGTACATCAGATTATGTTGATGTAAATATTCTGTATTCTTGATAACCGTTTAACTGTCAAGCATATATGAGCTGAGCAAAATGGCCGCACTAATTAAGGACTTCCGTTAGCATTATGAACAATTTTTATTAATCTCTATACATTCTTATTGCCAACAGTCATTATATGCGCCAGATATTGGAGGCGTTACGATATTGCCATGAGAACGATATACTACATAGAGATGTGAGACCCGCTTGTGCACTTTTGGCGACAGTGGATAACTCGGCGCCAGTGAAGCTGGGTGGCTTCGGCTCGGCGATACAGTTGCCGGGCACACGGGAAACCATAGAAACACATGGACGCGTCGGCTGTCCGCACTATATGGCGCCAGAGGTGGTCACAAGGCGTCTGTATGGCAAGGGCTGCGATGTTTGGGGTGCTGGTGTAATGCTGCACGTTCTGCTCTCGGGCAGGCTGCCGTTTTTGGGCTCTGGTGTTCGACTGCAGCAGTCGATAGCACGCGGAAGGTTATCGGTAAGTGTCTACGGGCAATTATGATTAATTGTTTATTAATTGCTGCTTTTGTTCGCTTGCAGTTTGAGGCACCAGAGTGGAAATCTATTTCGGCCAATGCAAAGGATCTAGTCATGAAAATGCTCGCTGCAAATCCACATCACAGACTATCTATAACCGAGGTGCTAGAGCATCCCTGGATACGTGATCGCGACAAATTACAGCGCACGCATCTGGCGGAGACAGTTGAGGAATTGAAGCGCTATAATGCGCGACGCAAGCTTAAAGGCGCTGTCCAGGCCATTGCTGGGGGCACTAACATGGATCCACTGTATTCAACGGATGCGGATAGTGAGTCATGGCCAATGCAATACTGAAGCAATAAGCGTAATTCTTTATTTATCACTTAATGTAGTGCCCATTGCTGGTGCTCCGGATGAGTGGGCAGACGAAGAGGCGGGGATTGAGGCGGTTCAGCGTATATTGGACTGCCTGGATGACATATATTCACTGCAGGACGCGCATGTGGATGCGGATGTGTTACGCGATATGCTACGAGATGTTCGCCTACAGCAGTTTCTCCAGCTTTTCGATCGCATCAGCTCCACGGTCATCACGACAAATGGCCGGGCGCCTAGCGCCGAGGCTGTTGCGCGCAGTCGCGATGTCCTGGAGCAGTTGTCTTCGGTTGGCGTCAGTGCTGGCAATAAGTATGCCAAGGATGAGCTGATGCAGCTGCTCGCATCGCCGCATATGCAGGTGAGCTTTTCATTATATTTCATTTAACCTTGTGCTTTCATAAATATAATTAAGTATGTATTGTGGCTACATTTTGAGGCAAGCTGTGAGCTCAGGGAACTGGGACTCTTTACATTGTTGCACTGTTTGTATGCCAGAGGCGACTGTCAGTTGCACGAGATGTGGTTATATCAATCTGCGTTCCACTCTATAGTTCCATTTAGCATAAACCAAAACAAATTTGAAATGTATTTAATGCTAGTAAACAAAAGCAGTGGTAAATGCTCACACACACAGAGACCACCACCACCACCACCAACAGCACCACCACTAAAACTATCAACTTCCGGAGGGCTGTCTCTATTTGTCGCACTCAGTCACTAATCCCTCGCACACATACTGGCACACACGTACTACTATGTGTGTCCACTCTTAGTTATACAGTGTGCACACAATACATAGGCAAACAGAGTGCGCCAGCTAATGCAACCCAAAATACAAACAATTTAATCAGAATAAACCCAAACGAAATTCGGACATTGCTGCCGCTGCTGATGCTGGCTCAACGGTATCAAATCCAGCTCTAGCATCAGCGACAGTGCCTGTGCCTAAGGCTTCTCCCCAAAGGCTTTCTGCCCTGAGAAGTATGCAACAGAACTTAAGTGTTGCAGACGTGGTAGGTGTGCGCCACATATTCGCAGCAGCAGGCCAGCAGGAAAGCATTTAACGATTGTGAAAAAATGGTTTGCTGCTGACACTATGGCATAGCGAACATTAAATACACTAACTGTATACAAATTTAAGGGAAAACATTTTACTATAATTATGCAAATGATTGTTATTGCTTGTTTGCTTTTTGCTTGGAGTACTCAAATTATTTTAATTTTTCTGTTATTTAGCTCGATGTGCATTGTGTATTAGATATTTGATATTCCTGTTTCTATGCAGGGTAAATCAATGCAGAGTTTTTTCAGCATTGTTTGCCATGCCCAGTGCCTGAATATGTGTGATACGAGAGCTATTACTCTACTCTCTGCTGTCCTCTGTCGTTAATTGCTCCTTGAAGCAGACTACACTTTTTGCTGCCGAGCGGCGATGCTTTATTCTTTTCATACCCTATGCTTACAAGGTACATAGAAAGGCATTGCAGCAGCTTAACGGCATGACTATCCTAATCGTAATCGATATACTCAAGAATTTTAAATAATTTATAAAGTATTAGGTTAGTATTAAATGTATTAAATATTTCATTTTGGATGGCATTGGGTCATTCAATTTAGAATTATTGTTGATTGATTTAACTCAAAGTAGCCGGATGTCTTATTTAACATATTTTATTTTATATAATATTATTCTTCTACAAGTCCTGGCAAGTCTGAAACGTGGAATGAAACAGAAATTAAAAATAAAATCGGGCAAAATTGTTTTACTTTTTTATTTAACTGAGATTCATAATTAAATTGAATTCATTAATAAAACTAATTTATATTCGAATTCTTGCTGCGATGTCAGTCATTTGAGGAATTTAATTTGCCTATTTTTTTTTAGAAATATATTTATGAATATAATTTTGGGACATTTTTGGCTTTTGCTTTTTTCATTCGTGTTGAATATTTGAACAATTAAATGTCTTGACGGATATTCATTAAAAGTAATACAATAGTTGTGTTTAAAGTCGTGATCACAGGATATTTAGGCTTTCAAACCCTAGACGGATAGTTCGTTTTAAGTTGCACTGGATCCCCGGACAGTTTGTCCGTCCAGGCCAACCGACCATCAGACGCTTTGTTTCTGACGCAAGCTGAGCTCGTGTGGCAGCGACTCATTTTCATAAATTCATGGCAACAACAAAACAAATGGAAGAAGAAGAAAAAATGAAATAGATGGATAAAAATGACAGACGATATGAGCAACTGAATAAACGCAGCCCCAACGAGCACTGAGCAACTGTGTTAATGCTGTATACCACGCACACATCCAACCGGAGAGCAGAGTGAGAACTGTGCTCAGGGTGTTGGATGTCGGGTAGGCGTAGGTAAAAAAAAAGGGAAAAAGAAAACGCTGAAGAAACAGAGCAACAACTATTGTGGGACCTCGGTTGCAGTCCAAACAACCGCTGCAAATCTCATTCTCTCACTCTCTGACTCTCTGCTCACGGGCGCTGCAAAGTGCAGCGAGTGTTCTGCTGCTGCAGCCGATGCTGTTGCAGGAGCAGGAGTAGGAGCAGAGCAGTGCACGTACATATACTAATGCATATGCATTTGTGTATTTGCATTCATACACACGCATGTGTCCAAGTGTGTGTGCCTGTGTTGTGTGTGACAGTGCGAGTGTGTGCGTAGCACTAACCAACCGAGCATTCGTGATTGACTTAAACAAAAAGCGCGCACAAATTTCTGTTTAGTTTGCGGCGCAGTCGCCGCGAGGGAACGACGACAACAACAGAGCAGCGCAAGGCGACGTACGTAAAAGCAACGCGAGGCAAGGCAGGGCAAGGCAAGGCAAGGCGAGGCGGGGCACGACGCGGCACGGCACGGCACGGTACGGCAGCGCCTCCAGTTGGATTTATTTGACACTTGCCAAGTGATGTGTAAAAGAGGCGCCTAACGAGCGATTTCGCGTCAGTCTGCCAGTCTGCGCCCACGCCATTGGCGACCCGACCCCAAAAGGGTTAGCAGCTGGGCTAAACAAAGCTCTGGGAATTGTGGGGCGAAACCTTCGTCTTCGTCAAGTCAAGTTAAGTTTACTCGAGTCTATTTCTCAAGTGAGTCACTCCGCGCCGCGCTCTGCTCGCTTGACCCAATTAACAGGACGCGGACGCGGACGCGTTCGCGGATGTGGATTCAAACGCAAATGCGAAGTTGTCTCTGGAGTGGATAGTGTCGTGTCAGTGTGCCAATTACGCGCGAATTTCCGCAGTAACCTCCGGCGCATAGCGAACAGAACGACGACAGCCACAGGCAGAGGTGCAGACACTGGCACAGCCACTGGCACATGCATAGGCACCTCCACGCCTGTAGCCAAGCTTACAGCCACGTGTTTGGCGGCAAAACCCACATGGGAGCAATTGACAAAAGGGCAACCGCTGTCATTGGCGACGTTATGCTGCCGACCCCCGCCATGTGGCGCTGGGAGTTGGTTTGGGGCCGCGCCATGGCGTTGCTCATAAATTGACAGACAACAACAAAATGGTGCTGCTGCAGCATCGACTGCGCGTCTATAACTCAATTTAAATTCAAATGTGTGCCACTATAACAAAATATAATAAAATAAAAATAAAAGAAAAAAAAGTGAACAAATTATAAAACGGAGGCCAATATCGGGCCAAGCTAACGAAATTAGCATATTACTTTAGAATGRCGGATGGGGTCTTGGTGGAGGATGAGGATGATGTTTGCTGCTGCTGCGATAACACATCCATAACAACTGCAACAACAATAACAGGGGCAACAGCACAAGCAGCACCAACAGCAACAACAACACCCTCAACAACAACAACAACACCAACGCCACAATACAGTGTATTTCAGTGGATCGGACTCGAGACGGCTGAGCTTTTGCCACCCCACATAACGCGCTACTACAATAACCTTCATCACCAGGTAAATTTCATTACAGCCGCCGATGCGGCAGTTGTAGACGTCAATGCTGAAATTATGAATCTTGATTACACGGTTAGTTTGCTGAAGTTTAAAGAATTTCTTGCACATCATCAGCCTCATAAAATTTGCTTTCTTCATGCAGCAAACTAAAGGAATAATAATGTTTTGCAATAGCATAGGAAGTTTGTGCAATTTACATTTAATTGAATACAATTTTTTAAAATTTTTATTGGAGATTATGTTTTTATTGTACTAGAATGCTGGCTTGGCTTATAGCAATTTGTTTTATTTATTTAGCCAGGCCTTGTTCAGGGCTTAGTTTACTAATGAATCACGGCCAAGTATCAGGTGAACGAACAAATGGCTGAGAGTTTGCTTGAAATCTGTATTTCAAGTTATATAAATATATATATACATATCTACATATATATGTCAATTCTTAAGCTAGTGCGAACGTTATTTAAAACTCAACGAAAATAAATTTTTCCCTACAAGAGCTACCAAATTTTAGCTTTAGTGTGTATATTTTACCCTCACAGTTTTCATATTCTTTTAAGCAATTTAAAGAGTGTTCACTTTTTTCACAATGTGAATTGCTGCGCTTGATTGATGCGTGCTGAATTGGTAAATTCGGATTTTGCGATACATTTAGATCACTTTAATCGTTGTATATAGTGGCTGTACTGAATTTGATTGAAGCGGGCATTGAGTGGGCCCCATAACGTGCAGACAGGCATTCATGTCCATTAATGCAGCATCTATCTACCAATTTCTAGTTAACACCATGTCATTTTGACAGGTGAATCGGGCCGCTTATTCAATTTCGCAGGTGGCCCGCGAGCTATCGGTTTGAAAATTGGCTCTGTTGGTGGTCCTTGTGTCCTGCTGAAACCAGATATCATCGGTGTCATCCTTCCTAATTAACACTGACCGTAACGATACCRAATTCGCTAATGAAGTCACATGAACGAAATGCCCCCACCAAAAAAAAAAAAAACAAACAAAAAACACGTCGCGTCGTGAGCATTTTCGACCCCCGATGCATTCCGTTTCAGCAGGCTCACTAGTTGAGTAATAAATTGAAAACAGAAGCAGAACCAGAAATTCATGAAATTCTTTACCGCTGGCGAGTGGATATGGATGGATTTCGTTCATTGTAGCAACTTGCATTGGCCAATATCGAATTTGTTTGTGGAAAATGCTTCAAAAATTCGTTCATTTGCTGCTGAGAAGGATTGCCAGCACACACGGCTTTTGGTCGCTTTTCAAGTAAAATTTGTTCCAAAAATATTCCAATTTTATTCATCGCTTATAAATATTTTTAAGCGACGTCGGAAAATAATCGATAGTAAAAGTTGCAAAGGATGAATTGCCAACCCTTTTTCATGCCATACAAAATCCAGTTATGAACCTTTCATA